GAAACAGCTGAAACAGCTCCTCCTCCTCCTCCTCCTCCTCCTCCTCCTCCTCCTCATCCTCATCCTCATCCTCATCCTCCTCATCCTCCTCATCTTCCTCATCCTCCTCATCCTCCTCATCCTCCTCATCCTCGTCATCCTCCTTCGCCTCCGCCTGGCGGGCGGGGCCCAAGGGCGGCGGTTCAACAGGGGCGGGTGGCCCGCGGGTGGGGCGGTGCACCCCCAGACGCCCATCGAGTCATGAAAAAATCACGATGGGAGGTTTCTCGTTACTCTCGGCCTCCGGAGGCCCTCGCCGGGCTTCGGGGGCCTCAAACAACGCTTCAGGATGAGAAACCGGCCCCGGGGAAGTGGTCGAGACCTCAGGGGGTCGACGTCGCGAACAAATCATGACGTCGGAGGTCTACGGTTCAACAGGAACGGATGACCCAGCATACGGCGTGTGTGCTAATGCCCTGAGGTCCTGGCGCTGCAGTTTCTTCGAGCCGGGCTGTTCGCCCAGCTTTAAATCGGGCATGCCTTTCTTAAGGAGGAATATTCAGGAATATTCAAGCATGGTCAAAGAGTAGCCTGGGCTTACCCGCTTTGCTTCCAGACCTGCCCGCGGTGGCCCTGGCGTCGAAGTATCGGGTCTGCCAGCGGGAGGCGGCCTCGGAGGGCGGCATCCGCGTGGCGGAGCGGGCTGCCCGGCTCCGCGAGGTGCGCCTCTTCTGCTCTCAGTCTCTGGAGCGTCTTGGCGCCTGGGCGGAATTGTTCGATCAGGCGTTCGTCTTGCAGCTGGACGTTGCCCGCCGCTCCTTCGAGGCGCGCGGCCTGTCGCCCCCGCGAAGGGCCCGCGCCACCGGAGTCAATGGCAGCGATCGACAGCGCAAGGTGCGACAGCGCACCTTCGTTCGGCTCATCACACCCGATCGCGCTCCCGAGCTACGTGATTTTCTACAAACGAGACGATCGAGGTGGGAGAGCGACCTCTTCGTGCGGACCATGGTGGACCAGGTGCTGGCGACATTCCTCGCGCTGGCCCGGATGCCCTCCGCGGGTACTGGCCGCTTGCATCCGGTCAATCTGGAACGGCTGGATCACGAGCCGCCGCTTCCAGGCGCGCTCGGCCTGCTACTTCGGCTGCGCAGCCGGAGAAGATTTGATCGAACACTACGCAGAGTGCCCGCGCGTGTCCGCATCAGTGTACCGCGAACTGGGCCTGGCGCGCCCAACCACGCCAGAGCTACGCCTGGCCAGTGTCCTGCTGCTCGAGACGGCGTATTTTGAGACGACCGTTCCAGAACTGCGACGACGTGCTGTGGCCACGTGCGGCGTGTATCTCGCGCACACTTGGGCCGCCAGAAGGCCGTTCGAGTGTCGCAACGCATTGAGCTTCAAACTCCGGGAGTTTTACTGGTGATTGGTGCCGTTTCCTCCCTGGTCCTCCCGTGCGTTCATGTTTTCGTTGTCCTGCCCGCCGCTCTGCTCCATGCAGTACGCCGCAGGCAGCGTGGCGACCACCATGGTCTGCAGCGCCGCCCAAAAATGATGAGGTATCTGTCTCACTTTTCTCTCTCTCTCTCTCTCTCTCTCCCCCTCGCTCTCTTCCGTCATCTGCCTCCTCGCCTACCCTCTCACTCCGAATCGTGGTGCTGCCCGAGCGCCCCATGGCGCCCGTCATCGCCGAACATAAAGAAACGCGCGCCTGACTCGAGCGTGCAGCCGCCCTGTTCCCCGCCCTTCCTCCGTCCTCCCGCCTCGTCCCTGTTCCTCCGAATCGTGGTGTCGATCTGTTTGCCAGAGCCGGCAGATGCGCCCGCGGCCGTGGAGGCCCCGCGCGCTCGTTCGAGCGTGCAGTCGCCCCCCCTTCCTGTCCTCCGTCCTCTGCCTCCTCGCCGTCCCTCTCCCTCTGGATGGTGGTGCCGATGTCTGTTTGTCGGAGCCGGCCGTCGAGTCTGCGGCGGTGGAGGCCCCGAGCGCTCGGATCGAGCCTGCAGCCGCCCTGTTCCCCTCCCTTCCTCCGTCCGCCGCCGCCTCTTCCTTCCGCCTCGTCCCTCTCCCCCCGACTCGTGGTGCCGATCATTGTGTGTGTGAGCCGGCAGGTGTGCCCGCGGCTGCGGAAGTCCCGAACGTCCGATTCGCGCGCGCAGTCGCCACCCACCCCTCTTCTTCGGAGCCGGCAGGTGTGTCCGCGGCTGTGGGGGGCCCCGAGCGCTCTCATTTGGCGGGCAGTCGCCTTCCATTCCTCTTGTCCTCCGTCCTCTGCCTGTCCTTCTCGCCCCCCCCCCCCCCGTTTCCCGGGATCGTGGCACGGCGTGCGCCAGGGTGGCCGCGCTTGTGCAGAACATTGGCCCGTGCGACGGCTGCGCGCGGGGGTGGGCCGCCGACGTGCCGCCCGGTCTCGTTCGCCGCTCCGTGCAGGGAACCGCTGCCTGCCCGCACGGCCCTCGTGGGCATGCCGCGTCCACACGGCATGGCCGTGTGGACAGCCCCGTCCAGTATTCAGTCTATCGGTTGCCATTTGGGTGCAACTCTTCGCCATGCCTGTCTCACTCCGTTGGGGCACCCGTGCCTGGCATTTACAGTTCAGCGCGCTCGATCGTAGATCCTTTTGAGCTGGGAGGGTCATGCAGGCCGCATCCTGCCCTTAGACGTACCAGCTTATCTTCGATTTCAGACCGTTACGGCGGATGCCCAGTATTAGATACGATTTGCGGGCCGTAATTCGTGAAATGTTTGTTGCGTGTCCCCGCCTCTGCATCATGGGCCTTGTTTGTCAGGACGCTTTTTATGCGTCTGCATTGGCAGCGCTGGCTCTGCGTCGCGCTGTGTCTGCACTCGGCCCGTGATGCGAACGGCACGCGCACGGGCTGCATGTATGTGGATGTTCGCGCGGAAGAGAATTGTTTGATTTTTGTGCTTTTGCATGTTTGGGGTAATGCCATTTTGTTCGCCCAATTGCTTGTAGGGGGACGTGCCCAACCCAAGTCTAGAGTTCGGGTCGCGACGTCGACCTCAGGGCACGTCTAAGTGGCGAAGCGTCCTGGCGTGCCTACAGGCCCGCCTGGGAATGCTCTAAGAATCTCTTGTGGTCTGCACGGAAGGTTACGAGGACACTTTTTGCTGAGAGCGTCTTGGTTCATTACACCGCTTGAATGTTCTAAGAACCTCGTTTATGTTTTTAGAACATTCCTTTGTTCTTAGAGCGTGGCGTGGTAGGCCCATAGGCAAGCCGGGACGGTCGGTCCCTGCTCAAAACAGGGGCGGATCGCCCATGGTTGGGGGTGCTGTTCAGGGAGGCTGGAACAAGATTTTGCATTCAGACCAGCCGTGGCCAGTTTGTTCTAGGCGTTTCAGCCCTGGCGGTCTCATCCCAGCTGTTGCGGGCTCGTTGCGGTCCCTGCTAGTTCTGTCCAGCCCTGGCCATCTTTCACTTTTCAATCAAATTTCGAAGGTGCATATGTGTCCAGGGTCTCCGATCGCCCTCCTCGACGAAGCTGCCCGGCCCACACGCGTGGTGCCCACCCATGAGTTATCCACCCCTTGTTGCCGCTGGGCAACGGTCGATGATCTTCAGGACGCGTGTTAGCTCAAGGTTCGGGCCGGACGAAAGGGGGGGATAAGGAAAGAGGTGGTTACGACGAAATCTGCTGCATGCAGCTCGTTTCGGCCCCACCGAGGGGCCCATTCCTCGATACATGGCCGCCTCCTGCGCCGGGAGGCGCCGGGGAAATCAGCTACGTGAGCTGATTCTCAACCCCCCCTTTGCTATCCCCCCCTTTCGCCCAGCCCGGAAGGTGTGCTTACTCCAGATTTCGTAATAAAGGGAGGGGGGTCTCATTTCGGGGGGGGGGGGGGGTCTCTTCCAGGCTATCTTGGAGGGCCTGGGGGGTCTGGGGACGATGTTTTGGAGGTTCTCCCACGGGGGAGGTCTGAAATGGCTTGTCTTGGAGGGTCCAGACCCCCTCCCTTTTATTTATTTAATCGCTTCGCTCATGCCGCCGGCCCTGGAGCCCTCTTTAGGGCCTCTTGGGGGCCTCTTGGGGACCTCTTGGGAGTCTCTTGGGGCTCCTTGGCGGCGTTTTGGAGGCCCCCAGGGCCTCTTGGGGGGCTCTTGGGGGTAGTCGATTGCGGCTCCCCCCTCGGAGGCCACGATCCTCGTGAGGGGTGTCGAAAAATACCCTCCCCTGGAGTGGTCTGGTGGCTTCTCCCGGGCTTCTCTCGGGACCTTGCCGGGGTACTTTTCGTCCGGGGGCCCCCAGGGGCCGCTCCGCGCGCGCGAACTAGAAATATTGTTATCAAGTTACCGGAGATCTTAGCACGCCTCTGGCCCGTTGGGCCGGCGAATTACGAAATCTGGAGTACCCGTTCGGCCCCATCGATAGCACTGCACGCAGCTCGTGCCGGCCCTGATTCATCCAGGGCTTCCGTGGATATGGCGCCACCACGTCCCGAGGATCACCGGAAGGGGCCGCCGGCGGCCACGCGGGCTGGATGCGCCGGCTCTGCGACCCTTCGACCCAAAGAGGATCCTCCTCCTCCTCCTCCTTTTCCTCCTCCGCCTCCACCTCCGCCTCCACCTCCGCCTCCGCCCTCCTCCTCCTCCTCCTCCTCCTCCTCCTCCACCTCCGCCTCCGCCTCCGCCTCCGCCTCCGCCTCCTCCAAGTGATCTGATCTTCTATTGACGCTGACGGCAAGGCAGGTTGACGGAGTCTATTCGTCAACAAGAAGCAGAGGGTCCCGTCTCCCGTCAGGTCTGGAGAAGGCGAGATGCTCAAGGTCGCGCAGTCTCTCACCTCGCGCGTGTTCGGATCGAAGGGAGGCGGGGATGAAAGCATGAATGGGGTAGGGAGTGAGAAGAGGGTAATTAAAGTAAGCGACGATGCAACCGCATCATCTCCTCTTCCTCCCGCTCCTCAGGTCCGCGCCTAGCCGTTTTGCCTCAAGGCTGAAGCCAAGACGAGCGGTGTCCGCAGCCCACTCGAATAGTCCCGTTGCTGGTTCCGGTTCCAGGTGCAATGGCGGCTAAGAATTTGATTCCGCATCGGTTGAGCTACGGCCCCGCTGGGAGTGCCGCCAGCGACCAGGTTCGCCTGGCGTTCGGCGACATCACAGCGCCGGAGTTCAGAAAGGGCCGCTACGAGGTCTGCCACTACTCCCGGAGGAGCCTCGGAGGCTGCACTGGCCCGCTGGCCGTCGACCAGACGCTGTGGTTCTGCTACGAGCTCCACGCTCTGCTCCGGGAGGAGTCAGGAGGGAAAAAAACACACAGACACAATTAATCGTCGATCCCCAGGAAAATATGAGAAAATATGGGAATTGGGCGGGAAGACAAGAACCCAGAAAATATAGGAAAATATGGGGTATCGTTTTATTTGTGTGTATTTATTTGTGTGTCCTTGGGCCCCTTGAAGGAGGGCAGCCACGTCGCGGTCGAGTACGAGTCCGAGGAGCGCAAGAACGTTGCCGTGGTCGTTGGCGCCTACCTCGTGCTCGGCCGGGGCTGGTCTGCGAGGGAGGTGCGCGGCGCCCTGCCCGAGGACGCCGGCCTGGTCCTGCCGTGCTCGTGGGCTCACCCTGAGGACCTGGCGACCAGCCACGGGGCGCCCCGCATGACGGTCCAGGGCTGCTGGGAGGGCGTGCAGATAGGGGAACGAACAGTGACATAAGCATACAAACTCGGAGGCCCGCGCGGATTTCTCGGATCGGCGATGGACCCCCCTGGCGGCGCCTCTGGCGACGCCCCTGGCGCGCTCCGCGCGCCAGGGAGGGCGGTCCAGCGCCGATTTGAGAAATCCGCGCGGACGTCCGAGTTTTTACGTTTCTTTCATTGTTCGTTCCCCTAGCAGATGGCCCGGGACTTCGGGTGGGTGCGGAAGGAGGCCGTCGAGGATGGCGTCATGGCCTCCCTCGCGGCAAGCCAGTTCTGGAGGACGAGCTGCGTGTACGACGGCGCCTGGCTGGTGCCGGACGTCTTCGTCATGGCCGATCCGATGACGACCGTCAAGGACCCCGACCCGCAGACCTGCAGCGCCTTCTGCCGGCCCCACGGTGGAGGAGGCCTCTGCGTGAGCGCCGACCCCACGGATGAGGAGGCCTGCCTGACCGAACTCGAGGAGCGGGAGCCTCCTCCTCCTCCTCCTCCTCCTCCGCCTCATCCTCCTCCTCCGCTTTCTCCTCCTCCTCCTCCTCCTCCTCCTCCTCCTCCTCCTCCTCCTCCTCCTCCTCCTCCTCCCCCACCTCTGCCTCGTCCTTCCTCTCCCCCACCTCTGCCTCCTCCTCCTCCTCCTCCTCCTGCTCCTTCTCCTCCTAGGAGCCAGAGCCTCCTGTGACGCCGGCCCTCTTCTGTCCGAGCCCGAGCGGCGCCGTCTTCGATGGGGAGAAAGCCGGCGGACGCCCCCCGTTGAGCCGCAGCACCGTCAGCGGAGGACCGGGCGAAAGCGATGAGCTTCGGGTGCCAGACATCGACGGGTCGTCCGAGGACGGCGTGCCAGAGGACGCATCGGTGCACACGGTGTGCTAGGCCTCCTACATGGGGTCGGAGTAGATGGGGTCGGAGGCTCGCCGCCGCATCGCCGATGCATCGGCGATGCATCGGCAGTGCATCGCCAGTGCGGCTCGATGTGCAGCCCGATTTGCTTCACGTCGGCGACGCCTTCGCATCGCCGACATCGACGATGCATCGCCGGTGCATCGCCGGGGCATCGCCGATGCATCGCCGATGTATCCGCGATGCGGCGCGCTTCTCCGATCCCACGTGTTCCGACCCAATCTAGGAGGCCTTTAGGTGTGCAAGGCCTACGACACGAGGGCTTCGCGCAACGGGGGCTGCGACCCGTGGCCCGACGCCAGGCCCGTCCTGGAGTTCCTGCTGGAGGCAGGGATCGGGAAGGTGCTGCGCGTCAACAGGTCGGACGAGCCGGGGCTGGCGGAGATCGGGGGGAGCTACGACTCCAGGCTGCTGGCCGAGTCTGGGATCCAGCACGCGGACATCCCCGTCAGCGACTCCATCAGAGACCACCAGGGCGCCGTTCCCCCCCGCGATGCTATCAGGCGCTTCATCCGGCTGGCCGTGCACGACGGCCCCGGAGGCGGCGCCGTTCTCGTCCACTGCAAGGGCGGCTTTGGCAGGAGCGTGTTCTTGGCCTGCCTTCTAGTCATATACAGGCACAACGTATCGGGCCGTGGCCTCCTCGGCTGGGCACGGATCGCGCGCCCGGGGGCCATCACGACCCCAGAGCAGGAGGCCGCGCTGAGCTCGCTGTCGGGCCGCGCGGACCTCTGCAGGAGGTACGGGCTACCCTGTGAGGCCCTGGACGACACGTCCGGGGCGCAAGCCTGCTGCACGGTGAGCTGAGCTGGCGCACGCTCGAGGGGGGGGAGAGGCGGGGAGACGCTGTGGAGGCAGTGGTGGTGGGCGGAGGGCCTCGAGCAGTGGCGAAGCGTCCTGGCTTGCAGGCCTCTTTCTGTGGTTTACACGATTCGTGATAGGCCGAGAGAGATGCTCGCGGTCGGTCCATGCTCAGGGTGATCTTTGCTTGCTTGCAGTTGCTTGTCCGTGGGGCGTGTACGTCACCATCATGGGCCATGGAGTGGCGGGTTTGGCACCAGTCAGCGGCTCCCCGTTCTCGCTGCATACTCCCCTGTGATCCTCCCGTGGCGCTCAGCAGTTTTTTGGTGCATCTTTCCCTGGGATTGTGTCATGTGTTTGCAGCCCTGTCTGCCAACAGATTTGCCAGTGTTCCTCCAGTTTCCTGCTCGCGTTTGCGCGAGGATGGAGGAGGAGAGGAGGAGGAGGAGGAGGAGGAGGAGGAGGAGGAGGACGGAGGATAGACTAGGGGCATGAGGTAGAGGAGATGGGAGAGGAGGCCTGGAGCTGGCTCGATGACAGCGACGACGCCCGAGAGCCAGGCCCGTATTTGATTTGAAGTCTTGGAAGGCAAGTGTGAAGTCGGGCATGTCCATCTACAGGAGGAATATTCCAAAGTAGTAAAACTCGGGGTTGGACAGAACCCCCAACAGTGACACGTCGATTAGTGAATTGTCCGTTTTCGGTCCTCGAGAGGGCGCCGCGGCCGTTATTTTCCAGGCTTGTGCCCGCCAGGTTTGGGCCTCAGGTCGTTTTCACTAAACCACGTTTTACTAAAGGGAGGTCTGTCCATCCCCGAACAACATAGTCTGGGAACGTTTTTTACACTATGTCTGAGTACTTGTTGTTGCCATCATGTTTTACTTGTAGCTGAACATCTGCCTGCAGGAGGACATGGCCGACCTAAATATGATATGATTCTTGTTAGACAGCCACTTTCGGTTTGTGGTGTTTTGCCGCATCCACTTGGCACGTCTGCACTGGCCCTGGCGGTTCTCTCTGTCTGCTCGCCGGTGCCTTGCATGGTGTGGTGTCCGGGAGCCTCCCTGCTTCAGATGCTTGGCGCCCGCCCGTGCCCCTCCCCCAACCCCCGTGCCCTATAGATCAACGCGTGCCTGGCAAGGCTGTGTTTCAGCTCGGCTGGCACCTTGCCTTCAGCCTCAATCTGTCTGTACGAGATCGGCCCCGTGCCTCGAACCCCCGATTCGCTCCCGCGGTGCCCCCGCCCCTTCTCGGCCTCCCACTCCGACTTGCCCCTCCTGTCCGACACAGGATGGCCAGTGGCCACCAGGGAGGAGCCGAACGGCAGCGCGGGCTCGCCTCGAGCCGACGGACGTGGCCGTTCAAATTATTCTACGAGGCCGAATCGTCAGATTGCAGCACGGTCCCGTACATTACACCAAACTTGCCTGCTAAGCGTAATGAGGTGCACTCGCCCTGAACTTGACAGGTCCGCCTCTCCTCATCTTAAGAAATGGAGCATAGCAAGCTCCATTTCTTAAGATTCGCCCTCGCACCCTGCTCAATTGGTTTCAAAGTGTGAAACAACAAGGTCATGCGCTGCCCTCTCATCGTGAGACAGGGCAGTACATCCGGCCATGCACTCTGATGGGGAAGCGAGGGGGGAGGGACCGGGGGTGAGCGGCTGGGTGGGGAGGATGTGCGGAGGATTTGGTGTTGTTCCCTTCTTCGCAGAGCGATGCTAGGAGCTGCACTCCTGGGATGTGGCGCGCCTGGACCCCAGCGTAGTGTCAGCTTGTGATTAACACATGGCCAGACCCCCCACCCCCGGGGCTGATACATAGACACCGCGGGGCGCGATTTTTTTTAACACGCGCACGAGGGGGGAGGAGGAGAGGAGGGGGAGGGAGGAACAGGAGGAGAAGGAGGAGGACGAGGACGAGGAAGAGAAGGGGGAGGAGGAGGAGGAGGAGGAGGAGGAGGAGGAGGAGGAGGAGGAAGAGGAGGAGGAGGAGGAGGAGGACGTGGAGGAGGAGGGTGAGAAGGAGGAGGAGGCGGAGGAGGAGGAGGGGCCAGGAGGGGCCAGAGGGTGAGGGACTCCCCGCTTTTGGGCCCTGACGGGCTTTCTTCGCTTTCGGTCCGCCAAGGCCTTCGGCGGACATCCCTCTACGGCCTTTGGCGGGCTGCGATGCCGAAAAACGAGGGCGACCTCCGGGGTCTGGGGCCCGCTTTCTTCAAGGCACGCTTCCGCCGTGGCGAAAGAGACTCAAGCCCGAGCGACTAAGAGAGCGGCCGCTGGAAGCGGGCGCAGGCAGTGCTGGGGTCGGCGACGACGACGGCGACAGAGGGGGGGGAGGAGGACTACCCGCCAGGAGAGGAAAGGGGGGGCTGCGAAGCCTGCTGCGCGCAGCTGGTTTCGGTCGCCCGCGTCTCCTTGCGCAGCTGCTGCTGCGAAGGGCCAGTCCTTGATGCATGGCCGCGTTCGGCGCCAGGACGCGCTGGGAACATCGGAGATGTGAGCTGCGTGGCAAATCCCCTTAGCTGCGCCCCACCTTCGTCCAATCCGCCTCGCCCGCAGGCCCGCATAGGGTCGCCCTGGCTCGCCTTCGCCTTTGCCAACACCAGGTTCGAAGGCCAACCATAATATGCAGAAGAGACGAGAGCAGAGAACGGTGGTTCGTGGACGGGCGGCTGAGGCAGTCCAGGCGATGTTGGGCGACCTTGAGGAGCCTGAACGCGCGCCTGTGCCTCTTTGGTCTGTTGGCTCCGACAGCGAGCTCGAAGGCGAGCTCGAAACCGCACGTTTCTTCTTCGAACCTGACGATGCTCTCAGGCACGCTGAGGCGGAGGTGATGGACCCTGCCCCGTGCTCCTCTCATGACAACGTTTTGCCAGCATCTGTGCAATCACACTCTCAGGCAATGGTCACCAGGCACGCTGAGGCGGAGGTGAGGCCCTGCCCCGTGCCCAGCTCATGTCAACGTTTTGCCATCATCCGCGCAGTCAAAGCCCCAGTCAATGGTCACCGTCACCCCGAACCAACCCTCGGCAGACTCTAGGATCAGCCCCCTTTCCTTCGTTTTGCCCCCTGATTTGTGGAGCGCTTGTCGGGAAGATGTCGGGTAATGTCAAGTCTCATGAGCAGGAGGAGGAGGAGGAGGAGGAGGAGGAGGAGGAGGAGGAAGTGTGGCCTGTCGTGCGGGATTATGCTGCGTATGCTGTGACAGGGCCTCACGTTTTTCGTATTCGTGTGATGTATGGAGCTTGGGTCACCAGTCTGGAGCAC